CAAACCCAAGTCTATCTTCCGGAATGTCACATGCAGATGCAGACAAAATCAGGTGCATGCAGGTCACCTGCTCTGTTCCACACTTGTTATTGTTTTTTTGCTCAAAAGCAGAGCTACAAATAACTGACACCTTATCAATTTTCAAATGAAGCTTCTATAATTACATTGCTATGCCCTATGGAAACACTACTGGGTTTCTCATAGCAACCTTCAATGATTCAAACACATAGCCCGGCTCTAACCACAAAACTACTAATAGTAAGAGAGCTTCATCATTCTTCAACAGAAGGGTTGACATGTGACTGGTAGTTACCAATGTCAATGGTAATCCAACAGCTTTATCCAAGTCTTGTCTCCTGAGAAATAAAGCTTTATGGAAAAAGTAGTAGTACATTCAGTATACAGTAGGGCAGGATTGCTTCTATAAGATCTGTCTCACCACTTGCAATGCCTTGAATGCTGAACTACAAAGTCTTTTTAGCAACTCTGTCAGATAGGTAAGTATGATTCCTTCCTAAAGGTTCAGGTCTGCAAGACAAGCAAAGCATTCAAAGCAGCCTATGCCATAGAAAGACTTCTTAATCTCTACCACCTCAATGGCCCAGTCCAATTTTCCTTCCTAGATCTGGTTGGCCCTCATCCCCCTTTTCATTGCTGGGTGGCTGTCTGACACGTCCTTGGGCAGACTCAGTTTCCTAAAACATCAGAAAATAAATATTTTTTAAAAAGTGAGAAATACTCTGTGGCCTTGGGGAGCTGGATTAAAACACTGATGGGTCAGATGAGTGTTGGGGTTGAAGTTAAGGAGCAGGCACAAGACTTAGGTGCAGGGAGACATTTCAGAAACAGATGTTAGCTCAGCTGAACCATGGAACTTCCTCCACAGGACAGAGCTGGAGCACCTTTCTTAATACTGAAGGGAAAGATAGTATCAAAATATGAAGGCAGAATTTACCATTACTGTCTTCCAGCCTATGCTACCATCCTATCACCACTGAGTGTAGCTCATCTGGTATTTTCCTGTCAATTTCTATCTTGCTTCAAAACTTTATTGTCCACTTCTTTCTTTCATTCAAAAAAAGAGTGGTTAAATGTTCCTTCTCATTTTCTGGACCAGATGTTCTCCAAACTGCCATCTGTGCCCCACTGACACACTGTATCTGCATACATAACACTGCAAGTACACAAGGTACTCTGAAGGGTTGTAAGGCTCAGCTTAGAACAAGCAATATCACTGACAACAGTCCAAAATCCAGTGTCTACAATGTTGCTGGGGATAACAAAACAAAACAAAAACAAACAAAAAAACCCACCACAGTATTTTAAAGGATTGCATTTCAGGATTATCTTCCAAAACTCACAACTGTATAAAGTTACTTTCAAAGGAAACCAGAATTTCATTCACAGATATCCAAGTTTTACTAGATTTAGAGACTGTTACTAATAAAACTACACTAGATTTTTGGACTCATATATTAATCACATTTTTCACTGAAAATTGAACTATTTATTTCAAATAAAACAAAGAATTATCACTAGTTTGTGAACTGAGGTGACTTTCTAGATGCTGCATCACTTCATCAGTAGAAATAGCTAATCTCAACATCACATTTCAATTTAATTACATTGTGTAAGAAGAAAACAATCCTTTTCAGTTTCTCCTTGAAAAAAAAACTGACATAAACTATACTGAAATAAACAAAGAATTTTTCATCTATGCCTACTGAAGAAAATCTGTTGCAGACTGATCTGCCCCTTCAGCAAACTGAATCCAACTATTTACTCAACAACTTCCCTCACTTTAGTGGTCTGATACACTTTTAAAACTTCAGCAAAAACATTTAACCAATGCATACTCAGATTGTTTATCAGCAAATATATTTTATTTAAATTTGACAACACTATAGGCTAAACTTACTGCAATAGACTAAGATAAAAAGTTACACTTTTAAAAATAATATCTTTTCATATCTATTTTTAGCCACCCTGTAAGCGCTCTCTAACATATTGTAGAAAAAGACTTCTGGCAATGGTATTGTCAGAAAGGCTTCTCCTCCATTAGGGACCCGTGATTTTGCATGTCCATCACAACGCAAAAAGGTCCCAAATCTCAGTTTAAAAGCTGATAATAAAGATAATACCAAGCCAAAAAGCCAAATTCTAACATAAATTGCATGAGGTACAGGCACACATTCTCTTCTAATCATTCAGCAGTAGACTAGCGACAGTCTCTACCAGGTATAGCAGGAGAAGACATAGCAAACTGACAAGGTCAGACTTCAACACATTTTGTCTGCTTTACAGACTAATAAAGCAGACAAAAAATAGACATATTAGTTTTACTTATTTAAAACTTCAGGAAAATATAGAGTCTTTGTAATTCCAATCTCAACATCTACAAGATTTCAGATGGATGAATATGGCATGAACAATGCATATGTCCAGTTCATAACAGAGGTGCTACGCAGAAATTGGTATTTCTACTTCCTCTCATTCAAAGCGATCTACATATGCACACGTGACAAGAAAAATTGTAATGGTTATTTGCCAAATCCTGCAGAGTCATCTGGCAGCAGTGGGTCAATCTTTCAAAGCTGGTTCCAACCTGACCGGTGACTGATCTGCTCCCTTCCAGCTGAGACATCAGGTCATGACAAACATTATCCCAGTCACGCAGATAACGGCAGAACTGGAGGGAATCCCTCTAAGAGGAAAGCAGAGACACAAAGAGCAAGTTTCCTTCTGGGAAAATGGGATGAACTAAGGCCGTATTGAGAAGAGGCAGGTGGTTCACAGGGTAAAAAGAGCACTAGATCAACATGTGGAATTCGTGCAGTTTTATTTTGAAGCCACAATGCTACAGCTCTTGGGCAAAAAGCCCAAATCAGATTTCAGGCATGGTATTAATTTCCTGGACTGAGTAAACAGGTCAAGAGCCTTACATACATACTAGAGTATCATCTGCCATCTAGTACAAGGGATGCTTAATTAGCTTAGTAAAGATACAGGGTTTGGGGAGGAGAGAGGTGGCAGAATCTGTATCCTTCAGACTAATAATAGCATTTGTAGGATACATTAAAAAAAAATTAAAAAAGGAAACAAAACCAAAGTTATTGAAGCATTTTTTTTTATTAGCACGTCAATTAAATGCTCAATTATTTGACATCAGAAATTGCATGTTCATAAAATCCACTGTGCAAGACAATCCTGTTTCAATAAGTTAGATAGGAGTGTTATTAAAAAAATGTGCAATCAGCAATTAAGCAAAACAGAGACAAAATGCTGATGAAAAAATTAGGAGGGCAGTGATTCCCTTCAAATTATTCCCGTAAAGACCCAACTGATAGAAACATACAATATGTGTCTGCCTTAAAAAATTAATGCAGATTGCAAACTCCTGAGAGAAGAGAGTGTTATCCTCATGCTGGACTCTTCACAGACATATTTTTGGCTACTGCTGTAATCACATAACATGACAGGGGCTGGGGGAACAGAACACGACATGGAAAAATACCTACTCGATAACCACTATACCTGTCTCAACCCAAAAGCTGTGTAGCTTTGCTTCATTTTTGTTTCTGTGAGACAGAAATATGCAACAAAAACAGTGGAAAGCAGGAAGCAATCTTTTCAGCAGATCAAGGCATAGGTTCAGCAAAATATGTTTTTATATTCTCAAGCTACAAACACACTATGATACCTTGTTGATTGTGGGTATAACCACAAAGAGTCAAGGCATTTGACCCAAGGATGTTATGACTATGTTATATACAATCAATTTCTATGATACTAAGGATCTAACAAGCCCCTGACAATAAACAATAGCTGAGAAAGCAAGCTGCTGCATGGCAGCATTTTCAGGCTTTCCACTGACATCATGCTAAGAAAGAGGTAATTGTCCCAAGGCAGATTTTGACTTATCACCAGCATGAGGGAATGCCTTGTTTACAATCCGTAAAGATTTTGAATCTAGAGGAAAAAGAAAAAAAGAAATCAAACACAGACTACACAAACCTATCAGAAAAAAATTAAACTTTTGTCCACTTAGTTTCTAAACACCAGAAAAATTCTGCAGAAGATACTCCATGTGAATGGGTGCTAGGGCAAATAACTCACAATTTGAAGTATCACATTTATTAAGCCTTTGATCCTTCAAATAGTAGAGTATGGGACACCTCTATATTAAGTCTGACAACCTTAACATAAGAAGAGAGACTATAGGTTTCGGAGCAGCAGCCATTTTTTGTCTAAATAGTGTTTTGACCAGTGTTCTGGGCCTGAAATTTTCCAAAATAGTGAACAAAAGCCTGTCAGTTCACAGCAAGAGTGCTGCAAAGTGCACTAGATAGTCTAATGCTGCCAAACAAGCTGCACACTTCTTTGAATCCAGCATCTCTCACAACTCTTCCCTCCTTGTTATCACATATTCATACTTTGAAATATCCTGCAAGAAAAGCTTGAAAGAGAAGGTCTGACTACTGTGGTACAGGCCACCTAACAAACATCAGAGTTTAGAGAGCAAAAACCTTAACGGTCTCACTATGAGGAACTGTGCACAGAATCAATCACACAGCCACAGGAGCCTGTCCTGAAAGAAAAACTCAAAAATGCAGAGGGAAAAGAGAAGACACATGACAGTGCTATCATCTTTTGATGAATTTAAATCCCTGAGAGACCCCTGAATTCATGCAGCTACTCAAAGGCAGCAAGTAAATCTGTGAAGACAAAGTATAAGCCCTTCAAAAAGTAGAAAGAAAAAAAGATAGGTGAACAAGACACGTTACAAAGAGAGGTGGCAAGCAGCTCAAGATGAGACACCCAGGGAGCTTCACACCACAATTTGAGAAACCTAGTGAAGAAAATTATTACAAAAGAATGCAATTTTGTTCACTGCATTTTTCATGGCATGTTTCGTTTTTTTGGTTCAATTTGTTCAGAATAAACATTTGCACCAGAACACTGATAAGCCTCAAAACAAGGACCTTCTTGAGTTTTCTTACCCCACTCTATGACCTAAGAAATTTTATATTCACCTTTTTATCTGGAAGTACAGTTCTCTTCTTCACAGCGTCTCTACCTATATCCAAATGCAAGAAATAACAATCCTATTACCAGTTAACTGTTAACTGTACTGTTGCAGTTAACTGTTAACTGTAAACGGTTAACAGTTTGTGAGAGCAAACTTCATACCTGCATCATGAATTTAAGTCTCACTTTCTCAGAAAAAAACCACTAGTTTAATGCAAGCACCCAACTTCACTCATAATGCAAAAACAGTGCTATTATATACTGCACTGTTCAAAAATAAATCTGGGGCATCATAGCTGAGTTAACCATTAAAGAATTAAAGAAAAATGTTATAGGAATTAGTAATCTGTCCTCCAGAAACAATCCCAAGCAGGTAGGATAAGACTTTCCAACAAAAGAGCAACCCTGCTTTATTTGTACTGCTTCAATAAACACAAACATTGCTGTGAAAATGAAAACTCCCACAACCTTACATAAATATCTGCAGCCAAAAAGCATCTCTGGATAAAGCTGAATACTCTGCAGATGTATTTTCTAATACACAGGGGAGATAGAAATGCACTAACTTTTCTTCACAAATACACTCTTACCAATGAATGAATGATAAAGAGTTCTCATTGCTAACTCCCAAAAATCCTAACACACCATACTCTAATCTAGTGACACTAGATTGTGGACTCCTTCCATGATTCCCTATTCAGTACGAGCACGTCGAGGACTCCTTCAATACAAGACTGCTTTAGTGGATATGTCCAAATACATGCCCTATGTGGATACCTCATCCAGGCACGCACTTCTGTCATTCTTATGGTTTTAAAGTATTGTAACCTTAGCATCATTTCTGTGTCTGATGGTTTACAACATTAAGTGACAAGCCAAGAGTTTACAGCCTCAAGAATCAACTAGAACACCAGGAAATAGAGAGTTGCATACCAGTATTTATAGCTTAGCCTGTCCTGTTTCAGTCCCCTCTCTTTCTGGAACATTTTTAGTTTAACTGGTATCCAGTCTAATCACTTTCAGTTGAGTGAACATTTGACTCAATTCCAACTACACCATGATTTCTTTTAACATGAGCCTGAAATTTTGAACCTTTTATCCAATGTCCTAGGAGTGCTTTACCAGCCTCAGTGAATCCTACAAGAAGTAGGAAAATAGCATTATTCTCGTTATACTGCTGAGTAAAAGACAATTAAGCATCTCAAGGCAATACAGAAGCTTATAGTAGAATTGAGAGAGTACAGAAGTTCTGACTCCCAGCCTGCTGCTGTGATCCTCAACTAACGCACAAGAAAAATAAAATCGAAATTTAACTGTTACTTTAGACTGACACAGGTTGGTTTTGGTTTTTTTAAATCACCATTTCATCAGAACACTCATCTACATGGAGTTGCAGTTGCCTTTTAATTTGCTGTACTTACAGGGCAGCAGCTTCCTACAGCCTACTTCACCTTTCCAACCACAAGACCCACCAGAGTAAACACCAAACAGAGGCAGAACTTCAAACACACTGGGAATTACTGGAATACCTGGGGTTATCTGAAGATAAGCATGGTTTCCCTTACACAAATGATTCTGAAATCTGATCCAGAGGATGCATTCATTTATCTATTACGAAGGACTGGAAAAGATGTCAAAATTCATTAGGATGTCTCAAACGAAGGAAAAACTCTGCAACATTAAAATTAAGTAAAAACAAGACAGAAATCTTTTCTAAAAATAGATCTTGCTGTGCAGCCAAGTATGCCTGCATGCAATTGTTATTTATTTTCAAATTGGGGCAATTTTCCAGGTAGATTTTTAGATCAGCTAACACAATGAGGTGCTTTAAAACTAAACAACCAAAAAAAAAACCCAAACAAGATTTCTCTCCTGATACTTGTCAAAACTGTGACTACACAGCCAGAGGAAAATCAGTATGATCCAAAACCTCACAACATATCTGTCCCATTATATCTTCCTTAAAGATGATGGACAACTAGTAGCAGATCTACTCCTGAAGACACTATAAAAATCCTATTGTTATTTCCAATGCAAAGGTCATTTGATCGTTTTAGGAGGATTTTCATTAAAGCAAATGCTGGCTAATTCTTGGTTTCCCCGTGAATCCTTGGATGACAAGGATGGACACAAATTCAAATCCAAATCATGGATCAAAGTTTTCCTAGTATTTCTGAAACTTCAATGAGCAATGTTATTTTAAAATTCAGAATCACAGAATCAGAACCACAGAATATCCTGAGTTGGAAGGGACCCGCAAGGATCACCACGTCCAACTCTTAACTGCAAGAGGTTGTTCTGGCACTACAGCACTGGACAATTAAATCACAAATATTTTCTCTCCAAACCAGCTAGACGTTCCCTCACACTAGAAATATTTAAAGCAAACTCCAAAGGGAGAAGGGGAAGACAATTAACAATCCAACCGTTGGAATATAACCTCCCTATGACAGGGACAAAAGACTTTACTGTCACATCTCATGGAAATAGGAGGCAATCTTTTGTGAGATCTTTCAGCATTACTGGTCACTTTTAGCCCAGAACAACCACTCTTCGGGTCGTCTGTTTTCTATATTAATAATGACTGCAAAACCCACCAGCATAGTACTGAAAATGAAACTGTATTATAAGAATTTTCCATATAATCTTCTTCCTCATCTCCCTAGCTACATCATCACTATCTAATCAGTGGTCTTTCATTTAAACCCTTGGAAGAGAGAGCAATTTCCAATTCCCTTGTTAATAAAAATAAGTACTAGTTTCGTTTTGGTTTTTTCCCATTATTAACTTCTTGTCCATAACAATCAAAAAAACAAAGTCCTCTATAACTCCTTAATAGGATTTAGAAGATACCATGCAAAAGTCACTGAAGCCAGACTCTAAAATCCTTCCTTTAAAAAGCCATTGTGAATCCTGCCTCTAAGAGTCAATATGGTTATTAAATCCTCATACTGCTTCATGTCAGCCCTGTCCATGTGTCTTCACCATCTCTCTGTCATTCAGGTATTGGATATTTATCCATTGGATATGGGTATTTTTTGACTGAACATGTTTCCCTAATGAGGACAGTCAGCAATTTGCTACTAGGAAGTATGTAATAACACAATTCTTGTGAACTACTTACATTATGTGGATGAAATGTATCTGTACACATCAGCTTTGCTCTGCTTCCCTTCTGTCCTCACTCCATGTCCATTTCCTCTGCAGAAGAGCAGACTAGCATCTTGCTAATAAGACTTACAGCATTTAAGCTTAGGTATTTTCCAGGAGATGCTGTCAACGCATTTACCCAGCATGAGCCCCTGATGCTTCTGGGAGGAGGGACTAATACTGTACAGCCATCATACTCCTAGCACTAGTATTGAGCTCAAATTATACTTTTTTTATACAGTACGCTTTTCTCAATCTCATTACAGCTCCAGTGAACAGACTTTCAAATTCAAAAATTCTCTTTGCAACACTAGGAAATAACTTATATTGGATTTAATACATGTTCCACAGGGTTAATTCTGCTGGTATAAAGGAAGAGAGAATGTCTCCTCAGTGGGCTGGCAAAATCTGGTAGGAATCCACCTCTGCAAGGTCTGTAACTCAAAGGAAGAGGACTTAACCACTTAATCTTGTGATTTGTATTTGCTTTTAATAGAACCCTGCATGAAAGTTTTTTTTGTTGAGAGAACAGACTAATTCCTGCTCATAGTGGTCTATTACAGTTCCCAATAAGATGATATAGATATCCTTAGAAGAACCGTGTCCCTTCCTCCACTGCTCTAATCTTTTTTTAATCTTTTTTATATCTCTATCTCCACTTTGGAAAAACATCAAATGGTTTCAAAGTGCATACCTGTAACACGAGCTGGTATAATTTTATCACTTGATTATTCATGCAAGATAGCGGATTTCCACTGCATAGCTTCCCATGTCATTATAAAATTCAAATACATTTATTTAAATCTCTCCTAGAATCAACCACTTTCACTGTTTCAGCTAATTGAATTAATAAACAGCTAATGGACAATGGAAGCTGTGGCCCCATTTTCTGTTCTGACAAAGTAAAAAAAAAATATATACACCATAAAGGATCCTTTGTCTTAGACATCATTAAACATCATTAAAGATCTGCTAACAAACCCTAACATTTAAGAGAAGGAAGTAAGAACCCAAACCAGGGATAAGTTCATAACAAACCGCAAAAGCACTCAACAGACTCCAGAGCAATCCAAGTCCAGAAATGCACATCAAACCCATTTGATTTATATCGTTTCCTCACAGATTAAGTGAAAATTTGGGTATTGACCATCTCATCTCATGGCAGGGCTTCACGAACGAAGATTTGGGAAGGACTCTACCCTCATTTGCTACAAGTGTGCTGGTAGCTAAAGAGGCCAATGCAAGATAGACAAGTCCAGTTGCAAAAGGCACAGCAGAAAGACTCCTTGGATGGTATCGGCAAGACCTGATTCTTTCTGTGTTGTCTTTTCTCCTCTCGGGTATTGACCATAGGAAAGAGCCATTTCATTAACATACTGTTCTGTTTCCAAATTATTCAGGAGTGCCTTACTTTTTTCTTGAATGACCATATGACAAATACAGATATGTGTCCTCTGCTACTCAATTACAGAAAGTTCACACCAAAATCTCAATCAAAAACTTCCTTTATTCTTGTAAAAAATTACAAACTTGGCAACTACTTTTCAAAGGCCAGCTTTTTATAGGTAGAATTCATATACAGATATGAACACCATGGTCTTTACAAAAAGACACATTGCTAAGAGCAAAATTGACTATAAGCAGTTCTCAGGTTCCATGTTAAGATAAATGCAAGGCATAAATAAACTGGACTTTACTGGAAGTGAGATTTTACGAAGACTTCTTTTTTTGTATTTCTCAGTAAACAAGAGTTCGTACACAGGGCCTCACATTCCATATGTACACATCAAGAACTCAACTTTATCCATTAAAGTTTCATATAAAATTTTACAAATTAAAAACAACTGGGTTTTACACCATATAAAATGAAAGGAGTGGAGGATTGTAACTCTTAAAGTGGCAACAGTCTAACTAAAAATGGACACTTTAAACTTCTGTCATTC